GCTGGGGGGGCGTGGCCATATTGCTGATTTTCAGGGTGCGGTTTTAAAGTTTCTTTTGGATTTCTCCCAAACAAATGGATGTGATTGAAAATGCAAGCTAATGTGATTTTCCTGATTTTTAAAAAAAAAAGCAAAAAAATAAATTGAGCTTGTTAGTGAAAAATGTACGCTATCAGCCAGATGATCCCTTTAATATTGTGATCGGTGAGTGTAAGCATGGGTCCGCTATGTGCGGGTGTGCGTCTTACACGACTTTCTCTTGACAGCAGCCCATTCGCAGCGGCTCTCTAGGAGTTGAGTGAGTTTGCCACACAGCTGAACATGAGCGACGTGCTCCAGCAGCAAGTCGACGATGGGTCCAGCCCATTGGCTCACTGGCGGCGTCGAAATCCATTGACAGAACTAAATGAGAGGAACCCACAAGAACAAAAAGAGAAGTTGTATCAACTAAATACAGGGGTGGGACGTAACAAAGTAAACATAGGCTTACTTTGTGACTGTACTGAAGTAGCTTTTTCAGGTATCTCTAGCTGATGATTTATTTTTCTGATTCCTTTTTACTTTTACTCCCTACATATGAACACAGATGTCTGCACTTTCTACTGTTTCCTGTAGGCTTCCAACTTTATTTTTTGTTGATATAACTTTAAACAAACCAGTATGTACCGAATGTAAAGCAGGGGTGTGCAAACTTTTTTGTTTGAGGGCCGCATACAGAAAACTGGAAGGATGAAAGGGCCACTTTAAAATTCTTCAATTTTTTGAAACACGCTAAAGTCGGTCAGGAAAGCAATTTTATATTGTTTGTATTGTGTAGCCAATTTTATCAGCTTTCTGTTAAAGGTGTTATAGCAAAATATTTGAGGATTTTATCAGGCTTTTTTGGGGTGGCCAGCAGCCCTCTATTTCCCAAATAGATCCAGCTCTGCACTTAACTGCAGCCGAATCCCATTTCCACATTCTGAACCCAAAAAAAAAGAACAAACTAGTAAGGTGACCATTTTTCAGTTACTTGAGGATCATTGATGTGATGTCTTCATCAATCAGCCAAAGAGCACAAAGTGGAAGAAATTATTTTTGCCTCGAAAATTGAATCACCTTTATTCACTAGTGTTTTGAAGATAAATTGTGTTATTCCTTTCATCATAAATGGTTCATTTGTATCTTCGAATAGAGGCAAAAGATGTTTCGAACACTCTCCCTTCTCACTCTGCCCACCTTCACCATTTTTAACGAACATTGCGGCCCAGATCAAATGTTATTTTAAGGTTTTGTTTTTTTTCTTTTTGTCATGTCTTCTGAAAAATGGATGGATGGCCACAAACAGCCCCCGGACCATAGATTGGACCCCCCTGACGTAAAGCGAGAGACATCAACCGTGGTCGTGAGCTTGATTAAGTGATTGAGCTTTTGGAGGATTGTGAGCTGGAAAAAAAAACAAAAAACAAGGACAGCAGCGACTCGGCAGAAAGGAAAAAAACAGGAAACATGAACAGTGATGAGAGAAGCAAGATATTCCCCATGGCTCTTTTTTTAAGAGAATTGTTTGATGTTGTTGGCTCCAAGAATAATTTGTTTCTCATGCGTTGTGTCTTGTGCCGGCCTCAAAAGTACAAGCGTCTGGCATTCGAAAATTCTGATGAATCTGAAAAAATATACAGGTAATGTGTGTTCTTTCAATTGGCTTTGCTAGCTAATTCAGCAGTTTGTTTGTTTTTTTAGTTTGTCAGTTTAGAATATTAATATGCTGTTAGCTATGAAATGAATGAGACTATGATGGATGTCAATTGTATTTCTACTTAATTACAGAGTCCGAGGACTTTGGCTTCCTCTGACTTAAGACCTCTGACAAATATTGTTGGTGCTTCATTGTGGTACCTGTGTTGCTTCATGTGCTGGTCCACTGCAGTTTAAGGGAGGTACGGTGCCAATATTTCTCATGTGGGATTGTTCTGGATGAGATCCTCTGCCATATGGGCAGGAGAAGCAGGAAAGGGCATCACAGCCGTTATCCAGAAGACACTTGAGTAGAGGCAGATTATCCACGCAGAGCGTGACAACCGCAGGGAAAGTCGTGGCCCAAGATGGGATTTTGGCATTGACGTCAGCTCCACTCTGCAATAGCAGCGACACTATGTCTGTGCTGCCCCTCTGCACGGCCAGCAGCAGAGGACTGACGGGGTCCAGGCCCGTGTTGGCGCCGGCGTTCAAGAGGACCTTGGCTGTCTCGGCGCAGCCGTTGGCGACGGCGAAGCAGAGGGCCGTCGCACGTCTGTCGGCATAGCGTGCTGAGCGAGCGGGGGCCAGCGTGGCGTTGACGTCCACGCCTGCCTTGAGTAGCGCAGCTGCCACTTGCGGCCTGTCGTGCTCGGCCGCCAGGTGCAGAGGGCTGATGGCGCTGTGCCGAAGCCTGGTACGACTCGTCACAGGGACAAGCAGGGATACCACCCTGAATACAAAGACACAGTGTAAACTGACACGCTTTTGGTCAATGTTTTTTTTTTTTTTTTAACCAAGCATCACCACAAAAATACTTGGTTCCCCATCCTACTGTAATGACCAGAGAAATAAACTCACTCTTGGTGTCCATGTTGAGCTGCAACATGCAGTGGGAGTAGCCCTGAGGTCGCCATCTTATTTGCGTCTGCATTTTTGGACAACAACACTGCCACAATTTCCTTGTGGCCATTTTTACTGGCTTCATGCAGTGCTGTGACACCGTCACAAGTCTGCATGTTCACGTCGGCACCTAATGACCCAAAAGAAAAAAAAACACTCCATTTCGTCATGTCTATCAATAATCAGCAGTACACATATATGAATAATAGTTACCTTTTCCAATGAGGTATTGCAGTGCTTCCAAGCATCCCATTTGAGCTGCAACAATGAGCGGTGTGATGCTGTACGTGTTGGAGGGGTTGATAGTGGCCCCGGCTCCAACGAGAATGTCACATGTTGCAATGTTGTTCCTGGACACAGCCTCGTGAAGGGCAGTCCATCCCTGAGCACACCGCTGGTTAACGGAGGCGCCGAAAGAGAGGATGAGGCTCACCATGTCCATGTTGTCCAACCTGCAGGCTGCAGAGGAACGGTTATGGTAAAACTAATATTATTGTGTATTGTCAACCGCGTCCATGTGACTGAATAAAACCCAAAATATCTCTCAGAGGATGCAAATCAGCAGATTTTTTTTTTTTTTGACTGCATCTAATGTTGTGACCAGTGAGTTCATAATTGCTGTTGCTTGTTTGACAAATAATGGAACCACTCGACCTGTGTACAAAGGGGTTGCTTTGTTCTTGCTACTGATGTCAGGATCAGCTCCGGACTCCAGAAGACACTTCACACACGACAAATGTTCAGAAGACACAGCAAGCAGCAAGCCAGTCTGTTCCTGCAAGGTGCGTTTGTCTGCAGAACCTGGATGTGCTGGAGCAGGAAACAACACGCAAAGCAGATGAGGGACTCATTTGTGAACCAAAGGGGCCCATTTGAATATACTGTATTTGTAAACGCTGATACCTTTCAATAAGGTCCTCAGGCAGTCATGCTGGCCATTGAAGGCTGCATGATGCAAAGGGATCCAGCCATCTTTGTTCTCCCTCAGCAGACTGTGAGGAGAAGATTCTGCCACCTTCTTAACAACTTCCACATCACCCCCACGGATGGCCAGGACCACTGGGTCAACATCCCTTGAATGGGGAAGAATAAACAGCTTCAAAAAGTAGAGCATCAGAGTAATGTTAGGGTTTCAACAGTAGGGTTTTAAACTAGTGTTTAGGTTTTCAAACCAGGGCTAGTGTTTCAAAGTAGCGTTGGGGTTAGGGTTTAAAAATAGGGTTTTGAACTAGCGTTGGTTTCTACATTTAATTTTCACTCAAGCTTTATTTTCCATTTTTGGTTCTATTTATTTATTTATTTATTTATTTTTACCAAATAAATTTGGTTTGACCTTTAGAACAGATTCTCATTTGAAATGTACACTGTAAACTGTAAACACAACTACTATCACATACAATTGTACTGCATAATAAATAATAAAAGGCACTTACAATCTACGATTTTGTTTTATATTTCTACAGATTTATTGAAGATTTTTTCGTATTTTTAAATACCGCTGCTGATATCAATAATAATGCAGTACTGTAATAGACAAATGAATTCATGCGAAGATCCCTGTACGAACGCAGACTCCTCAAAACAGCAACAACAACAACAACAACAACAACAACAAACGTCCTTGTGTCAGAAACACAACAGTCAACTGGAACATTCAAAGCCACGCCATTAAAAACTCCTCGGCGGAGGTAATAAGAATGAAATAATTGATATTTAGATTTATCCAGACAGTTCATTTGTAGAATATTACAACGGTCATTGTTAATTGTGTCGGTCATATTCACACAACGGCATCCGTACATACGCACACACATACACGAGCACATAATGAACAAGAGACTCACACGGCGTGTGACGTCACGTTGATTACCCCGCCGTCTCCTCGCTGTCTCGACGTTACCTCATTATCATCACCATTACTGTCAATCGATGACTTCGTTCGTCCGTGATGAAACTGTGCTAAATATTGGTAATAGCTGAATTTGGTCACCATGGCTGGGCGCCGCGTGGTGACAGCTGAGTTGTCACACACACAGCCGGACGAGCGAACACGGCCGTGGGGAGGCATAAAGGCACGGAGGCAGGCGTGGGTGGGATGGGGGGGATCAACTGTGGTCGCTCGGATTATTTTCGGAGTTGATTCTGAGGCAGGCTTCATCCATATATGTCAGGACACTCACAAGTCCTCTGATAACATGAAGCCTGAACACAACACAAAGCAGACCTGTCTGCCTTGCCTTGCCTTGCCTTGCGGGTCGTTTGCCTTCATCATTTGCATGCTTTTTAAACGCCTTAGGAAAAGTAAGAACACATTCAAAACCGTACACGCGATACTTAATGACTGACGCTTTTCAATAAAAGCAATTATGAAAATATTTATTAATTGTAGGTATTATTATGAATGCATGAATGATATCAGTAGTTCTCATACTGCATGCAGTCGTACGAAAACCGATTATCACTTCACCATTAGAAAAACATGAAGTTGGATGTTGAAATGACAAGAATAAAAAGTTGTTACACTTCTGTTATAGTGTGTGAAATTGATGGCATGTTCAAGAACGTTTGAGTCTTATACTTTTTCAGAACTAGTGGCATTTGTGCATCCCTAATCATAATCATAATAATTATTATTATTAAAGAGTGGGTCAAGTGGGTTTTGGACATATGCGATATGTATGTCCATAGCATGGCAATTTAGTTGTTTTTGATTGTCACAAAATCTTGCCAATAAACTTGATTCAGATTCAGAATTGCAATATGTAGCCATAGACAGATGTTATCATTCAGGTACACACAAGAGTATACAAAATGAAATTTCACTGCATTTGGCTCAGCACAGTATTTACAAAATATAGTGAAACAAATAAATCAATAGATACACAAACAATACGAGGAAAGGAATAAAATCCGAATCGCACAGAAAAAAGCTTTGCGTGATTGATTTTTTTTTTACTTCTTTGTTGCCGTCTCTTTATTAATTTGGGTAATTTCTTTTTGTAAAAGAAATAGTGATTTTGAGCACAGTAATCAGTTTTGATATGAAGTTCATGTAAGTAGAATCAAAAGAACAAACACACTCTATTTCTAGTAGACCACAACAGAAGTCATCACTTCCTTTTTGCTGGCTCTCGCACAGAGGAAATATCATCTTCGTCTGGGCTTTGAAAAACATGTTTGCCCCTTGTATGACCTTTTTTTTTTCTCCTGTTATCTGGTGTAATATTTGCATTTTTTACAGCAATCGCATGTGACCCTGCATAGCTTATGGATGGCAAAAGTGCAAACCCTCCTACCTGTATATATAATAGTACCAGTATGTGTTTAAGGTGACTGAATATGAGCGGCCTTCGATGTTGCCTCATCATCAAACATGAAATCAGCCGATCATATAATCCTGCAGATATGAGGTTTTGTGCTTTGGCCAACTTTATGGTTTGCCCAAGGACCAAAAGAGCGTTTAATCCGACAGGTATTGCCTATTTGCACAAAGTGTGTCCATCTTGGAGCAACACATACTAACTCCCATCCAGTTACATTTGCAAATGAAGTGGATTCATGTTTGTTGTTTAATGAGAAATGGTAGATTTTGATCACATCCAAACAATCAGGTTTGATCTGTGTTTTAACTTTGTGGCTTTAGAATTAGCACACAACTGTCTAAAATGGTTTCCAAAATCCAATCTTCAACCCAATCTGCTAGGTCAAAATAAAGACCCCAACCTTGAGTAAAAGCAACACAATCTGCTCAAAAACCACAGAGATACCTAGCAGGTGGGTTAGGAAAACAACCAAGCATTTTATAGTGTGTATAGAGCACAGGTGTCAAACAAAAGGCCCGGGGCCCAGATCCGGCCCTCCACATCATTTTATGTGGCCCGCGAAAGAAAAATCCCATGTGTCAACTTCCATGATCCTTGCTAAAATCTGTACCGAAATGTCAAATTGTCATGTGTAATAAACAACATTGAGATTTTGCAATTCTTTTGTGACCCTCTTTATCCTCACTTAAACAATAATTGAACAAACTACAATATTATAGTTGACTGATTTGAAAACACGTCATCCATCAATTTGTTGTGTCGAAGTAATGCGATGAGACGAGTAAACATTTATTTGGTTTTGCTGTCATAATGACCCTTCGAGGGAAAATGTAACTCCAAAGTGACAAAATTGAGTTTGACACCCCCAGTATAGAGAAACAACCATTCACACTCACAATCACAACTATGGACATCTTAGAGTTCAATTAACCTTCTCAGGAACATGCAGACTCATAACACAAGTTTAATATCAATGGCCTGAGTCCAAATCCACATTGAGGTGAATTATTAACTCAAAAACACAAAATGTGGGGGTTTATGACCTCATTTGAATGTACAAAGCACTGTATATTCAACAGTGTTGAATCTCGTGTGGGCAGCATGGTGGTCGACTGGTTAGCACGCCGGCCTCAGAGTGCCTTCGTGGGTTTTCTCCGGGTACTCCGGTTTCCGCCCACATTCCAGAAACATGCGTGACAGGTCAGTGGAACACTCTAAATTGTCCCTACGTGTGATTGTGAGCGCAAATGGTTGTTTATCTTTGTGTGCCCTGCAATTGGCTGGCAAACAATTCAGGGGTACCCCGCCTGCTGCCCGAAGACAGCTGGGATAGGCTCCAGCATGCCCGCGACCCTTGCGAGGATAAGCGGATTCGAAAATGGATGGATGGATGGATGAATAGCGTGTTGGGTTTCCATACGTTGCTCACCTGTGTACTGTATTGCCTGATGCAGGAGAACAGTCGACAGCCAGACAATTTTTGACATCCCCGTCCAGTCTCTGATAAAGAGACTCACATCTGTTGACTGCAATCATCCCAGGAGCCCAGTCAAATATCCAGTGTGTCCTGATGGTTTGCTGGTGGTGTCGCGGGTGATCCAGAACGTAAGATGAAAAGAGCAAAAACTAGTGTGAAGCGTTAATAAGACAACACTTGATGTATCCAGAGGCCCATTTAAGGGCATTCTCTCTTTCGAAATCGGGCTACACTAATAAGATAGCTCTGCAATGTGCTGTGGTCGACATCAGAGAGCAGCTCAGGCGATGAGGACGGATACCATTTAAGGACATGTTGAACTGAGTTTGCTCCCATTTGCAGCTTCACAGGGAAAGCTGATGTGAGGTTATGTCTTGGTTAACTTACTTGCAATGCAAAAAAAAAAAAAAAATAGAAATCATATTCGATCATGTTACATACAAAATTTCAACTCACCACAGGGCCAGTGATCACTCACAGTAGCGTACACTTCTGTCTGAGCTGAAGACAATATTAAAAAGTTCCTGTGATGAATCGCTCGTCATGCATATTTGGGTTTCACACTTATGTCTGCAAAAAAAAAATGCTTCCTGTGACAAAACTGGAAGCGGTGTGTGTTTGTTGTTTGTCAAAAACATGTCCTTCAAGCGTGTCTCTTTGTCTAATTTGTTGGTATGGTTGTGTCACAATAGCCTTCTGAGTGTGAAATTTTTTTCAGCATTAAAAAGGGAATGCAATATGTTAACACAATTTGTATATGAAATTAATGGGTTAAGCAAAGTACTATTTTCTCAGGATTTTTTTTTTAATCCATCCTTCCATCCATTTTCTAATCCATTTATCCTGTCATGCACGTATTTGGAATGTGGGAGGAAATCGGAGTACCCAGAGAAAACCCATGCAGGCATGGGGAGAGCATGCAAACCCCACACAGGAAGGCCGGAGCCAGAATTGAACCCTGGAACTCTGCACTGTGAGGCCGTTGTGTTCACCCTAATTTAATTTTCTTTTTTTCCTTCAAGCACAACTGTAATTTAGAAAAGTGCAACATTTAGGTCTGCAAAATATTTTGCTGGATTAATGAATAATGAAATATTTAAACAATAATATTTCTAGAACAAGAAACTATCTTTTTTTTGTTTGCTTCTCTGGACTGTTTAATACGGAAGATGATTAGGGCCAATAAAGAAAAAAAATTACGTTTGGTTTTTTTTCTTCATTGGCCCTAATCCTCTTCCGTAGACACAAGATCAGCAAACAATTGCGATTTTTTTCGTCTCTTTTTAAACGAATCATATAAAGGTCTTCAGGACGCAACTTCTATGCCTCGTCTACAAGAGAAATTTGCTGAGAAAAATTATTTTCGTGTAAAATAATGATACAATGTTAATTCGTCCAGTTTGAGCGAGTGAGTGAGACTTCGACATCGCGGTAATGTTTCCTGGGAGCAAAAATTTGTGAGGGAGTGGGAGCTCTTCTTGTTTCTCTTTCAATCTTGCGGAAGTCATTTGCGACAGCACCGCCTCCTGAGGACGTTGTCATGACAACTGAGAACCGATCCAAGCAAATTCCCTTTCGTCCAGCGTTTGGTCTCCGGGCAACCGACCTTCAAATCCAGAAAAAAAAAACATCCGGAACGTTCCGTGATCTTTGACAACACTTTTAACTTGCCATCAACATGATGACCAACTCGCTTCCTTTCTTGGCAGATCACGAGCGGCTGAAGCTCAGAGTGGAGAAGAAGACGAGGAATATTTTTATTACTCAGCCCGATGACTGCAGGTAGGCCTGCTTCCATCTGCATTCAAATCCCATTCAACTCACCTTTGACTGAATTGTGTACAATGTTTATGTTCTCAGGGAAAGAGAGGAGAATGTGAATTACATCCCAGTTGTAAGTGAGGTGAGACGAGCTCTTCTCTGCATGCTGTACTGCATCGTGGCCAATATGAATTGCAAGAATATAGAAGAATGGCTGTCAGGTTTAAAAGCATTTATTTGTGACAGTTAAAATTACAATTCCAAATGTCTTATGGAAAAAATAACACTCATTATTAAAATTCCAAAGCAATAATGACATATAAACAATAAAACCACGTTGCACTGCTCTTTGTGGTGTGCTCAACTTGGCCACCTGGGGGCAGTATAAGACAGAAATGGACACGCTGTTTCTTTATTAACAATCAGACCCTATTTTTTGTGGTTCAATAGAAAACAATGCAGTATAGTATATATGGCGCCTCAAAACGTCGTCTCCCAATGACGCCAGGGGTGGCAGTTTTTACATTGTACTGCCTGGTGTGCGGGTATGTGTCCGTGACAATTTTTTATTTCGATTGTCCAGTTCAGTTGTATTTGGCCTCATCACTCAATCTGTGGCGTGGGCCTTAAAGGTGTATTTTTCCATAAAATTGCACCACCATTTCATAGCAGGTGCATGTAAATGTTGTTGGTCTGCCATTAAGCCTCCAAGCAGTATCCTCAAGGTTGGCGTGAACACCCTACAAAAGACTCTGGTTCTGAAGAAACAAGCCGAGCTGGATGAGGTGAACAACAATCTTGCGCTCAAAAGAGAAGAGTTTCAGAGAAATGTGGAGGAGCTGACTCAGAGAAAGATTGAGCTGCAAATGAAACATCAGGAGGTATTTATCGACCATATACGAGCTGGGCCTAAGGAGCTACACTTTTAAACATTCATATTTTATCACATCTGCAAGGTTTTTCCTTCCGTCCCTCAGACCCAGAGCCCTATTTTCATGTTTTTTTTGCTTAAACCCTGTCTGCTGTCCTTCCTTTCCACCTGTTTTTATTCATACACCTTTACATCCTTCCTCCTGCTTTTCTTTTTTCCTCCTTCACGTGCTGCCACTTTCTTTGTTTTTGATTGACATTATATGCTGTCATTCATTTTTTATTGTTCATCTTTAGATTTTGGACCAACCTGTATCGATATATGAATAAAATCTAGTAATTAGATGATATATTCTACAATGTTGTGTGACATGCATTTTCCCACAGACGAAAGAGAAAGTGCTGAAGTTTGAAAGGTTTGTGAGTGATAATGAAGTAAAGCGAACTCAAGCTGCGCAGCAGTACAAGGCAGTGCAGGAGGACAACTTGATGAAGCAGCGCAAGTTGGAGGAGCTGACAAAACAGCTGCAACAACTTCGAGACAGGTGAGAGGTTGTTTTTTTTTTTTTTTTTTGTCTTCGTGTGATGCTCGACATCAACTCCAGTGACACATTTGCTTATTTCAATTGGCAGGAGGCTCGTTTTAAAGAAGAGGCTATCCAAGTACAAAATCTATGAGGACTTTTTGATGAAAACGTTGGATTATCTCCCTGACAGTATGTGGACATTTGCTGTAATGATTTTGTAATAGGGTTGAACCTTGAACAAAGACAAAGAAAGAAAATCACCGAGCTCAAGAAATGATTTCACACTCCTGGAAATTCCACTCCAGACTGCTATTAAGCGCACTGCATTAACTCTGCGCCGCCTCTTTCAGGTCACCTTGAGACCGACTCGGAATGTGCAGTCATGCCCATCATTCGGCGCCACGAGACCCTGTGCTTTGCCCACGAGCAGCTGCTGCAACATTTGCGGCGTGTGGAGGAGGAGGTGGAGCGGGGTAGGCGACAGCTGCATGCCATGAAGCAAGGACACAACTTGCTCAAATTGGTTAGGCTTGACTAGAAAACATTCAAACAATACTTCCAGTAACAAGATTTTACTTGACCTGACATGTTACCTTGTGCTTAGGCGGCCAGTAAAGAACTTTACGAACTTCAGAGGGAGTTGGAGGGCCTGAAAGAGAAAAACAAGCAGGCAGAGGATAAATTGATGAAGGAGCAAGGGCAGTCCAGAAAGAAGGTGTTCACACAAACATTTTGGCTGCACCCACAGAAAACTTAAGTGCCGAGAGAGCGCGAGAGAAAAAAAGAGGCTTTTTTTTTCGGTGAAAGCAGTGCCTCATTACTCAGCCACTGACTAACTGATACATGTCAGTTAAAATGTGGATTTGTGCATGTGGCACCTGAAGCGGACTCATTAAGCTATATTCTGAACGTTGTGGGTGGGGTATAATTAATTGCAAATGACCAATTGAAAAGTATATCGGTACATAATATGTTCCCTTTTAGGGGCTGCAATAGCTTGTCACTGAAGTGATACCTTACTGCCTATAATTTGACGTCCTGGAAAATTAGAATTCCTTGGAGTCCAACAAGCAGGCATGCATGTTAATGTATAGTGAGAGATTTTAACTTTTACTTAGTCTTATTTGTATCAAGCTATTGAAGTAGGCAACACATCTATTTGAATATTTTTTCCTGGCTATTTTTTTTTTTAATTCAAATTCTAACACAACAAAAATCACGTGTTAAATCAAGTCCGCTTTTTACGATGTCACAGATCAAGCAATGTAGCTCAATTTTTTTTTTTTAAGAGGAAAACACTGTTCGACAAATTAGGTCAAAATTGAAAAGCATTCAGCCTTATTTGGGATTATAATGAAGCATGTCATCCTCTCTCAGGCTGCCGAAATGGGAAGCCTCCATTTGGCCATCAGCAACCTCGCAGAGCAGTGTTACCTGCCAGCGTGCGGAAGTCTGGAAAACATGAGCGCTTCCTTAATGCTGGACATGGTGAAGGTAAGAAATGAGTTTCAGAGCTTTAACTGGAGTCCAACTAAACAAGGACTGCTTTCAGGAGTACCTCGTGGACAAGGCGGACACAGAGAAGAGAGCGAGGAGACTGAACGAGGGTGCTTCCCAAACAAGGACTAAAACAGCTTTGAATGACATGAAAACCAAAGCCTCCATGAGCAGCTTTGGCTGTAAGACTCAATTTAAAAGTCGGAGTCAAGTCAGTAGGGTGAGCGATCAATCAAGTTGAGGTGGACATGAAAAAATAAAAAAATAAAAATAAATAAAGTCAAGCTGTAATGTGTGTGGTGTCTGAAACTATTTAATAATTACTGTGAAAATGTTAAGCACTGGTGTATTTCACTGTTGCATCTTTACATTAAAATCAAATTAATGAGTCATTAACGCTGAAAAGGAATAATTTCCAATGTGAACATTTAAGTGCTGGCAGAAGGAGGATTTTTTTTCTTCCCCCCCTTGTGTGCGCGTGTGCGTGTGTGCGTGCGTGTGTGTGTGTGTGTGTGTGTGTGTGTGTGTGTGTGTGTGTGTGTGTGTGTGTGTGTGTGTGTGTGTGTGTGTCTCGGTGATAATAAAAATTATACGTTTTATTTCTTACTGTTATAATTATATTTATTGCCAAGAATGAGCTCCCATAGTCACGATACGCTGCTATAAAAATAAAGTTGATTTGAATTGCTTGACGGTACTGGCGGTAAATGCTAAATGGCGGCTGCTTTGACGTGTCACTTGTAGTGGGCGGACGCAGGCAGCGCGGCAGCTCAGCCATCAGCAGTCAGTCTGCTTTCATCCTGTCCAAAGAAGAGGTGTGTGTTTAAACCACGAGGTAACAAGCTTTTAATGGCTTCAATGTTCATTTAATGTGAAAATTGTTGATGGGTAAATCATTTGGTCATGTGTATGTTTATTTTCATGCCCCGTGGTGTGGTTATAGGCAGGCACCGAAAGAAATTTGGGAGGCAGGTTCTTGAGCGACCCCCACCCCAATAAATATGCCACCTATCACCAAATTTGTTCATAAAATTAAGAAGAAACACTCACCAGGATATATTACACTGGACAACCACAAACAACCTAGTTTAGTCGAATGAAAATTGATAAAATTGTGAACATGATCAAATTGAATAAATACATTAATAAAAGGTAAAAATACAAACTTAAAACGTAACAAAACTGAAATAAAAATAAAGCATCCCATGTATTCCATCCACAACTATTTACAAAGGAGATGAAGGGAGGAGGACCAAAAAAGCCGCTTCACAGTGGTACCATCTCTCGGAAGATTTTTATGACAATATCGTCTGAAATTAAAACATATTGTATGTTTTGTTTGTAGTTTCGTCGCTTGACATTGACACGACTGCTTGACATTCTACTTCAAAATGTTTGTGGCCATATTTTCCTCCCAACTTGCACATCAAATCAAGTCAGATTTTAAAGACATAAAAATGTTGAACATCAGTGAAATGGTTTTGAAATGGTGTGTATCGCTTTCCTCTTTAATGAAATATGACAAATTTGAGCAAACAGCTGGACAAAGCTTTGAAATCACAAATGTCATCAGTAAAACAATCGCAGGTTATGCATTAAGAATGTGGTCTTTGTGGCTTTGATTTAAGGCAGGGCCTTTAAGCAAAGTGTGTTGAGAACACTTGGGGTCATTGGCCAAACATTTTCAGCGGCTCCAAGGTTTAGGTTCGTGCGTTTTTTTGGTCTTCTTGATATACCCGGGAATTGACTGGCGACCAGTCCACCTTGCCTCTCGCTCAAAGTCAACTGTGATCGGCTCTATTTCACTGGTGAGGTTATCCAATGATTTTAAGTATTGTGATTCATTTGTACAAAACAACATAATGGGCACCCCCCCCCGGGGTTTCTCTGCCGATGTGTCAATCCACTGGCCATCTGCATTTAGAGTTATTTGAATTGTATAATTTCATGCTATGTGATTTGAAGTGCGCGTCGTTCATTCAGATGCGCGTTTTTGTTTTTAGAACTTTTTTTTCAAAGCGTATTTTGCGGTTCTGTTTTCCTCCTGCCCATGAAAGGCATATTCCAGAGATGAGATCTCACAACTGCTTCCACCCCATTTGTTTGATCACGCTACAGGATTAAGCCAGAGTGCTGAAGCCACTTGAGTCCCACCTTTTATTAGCCACCAGAACAAGACCCCGGTGTCGTCATAGGAACCATGGCTGGAAAAATGGCAGATGAGCTCCGCTGTCCGACCTGTCTGAACATCTTTAAAGATCCCGTCATGTTGAAGTGTAGCCACAGCTTCTGCCGTACGTGTGTGAAGCAGTGGTGGAAGAATAAACAAGTTCATTCGTGTCCAGTCTGTAGGAAAAAGTGTCAAGCGAGTGATGTGTTTTCGAACTTGACACTGAAGAATGTGTGCGAGACCTATACACAAGACTTGCTGGACTCTGAGGCCATCTGCACTTTACACGAGGAGAAGAAGAAGCTATTCTGTCTGGACCATCAGGAGTGTGTGTGCCTCATCTGCAGAGATGCACAGATTCACGCCGGCCACAAGTTCTGCTCGCTTGAGGATGCTGCGCAGGATCCCAGAGAGAAACTCCAGAACGCCCTGCAAAAATTCAAGAAAAGACAGCAAGATTTTACAATGGTCAGAGACAACTGCAGGGAACAAGCAGAGTACATCAAGGTTCAGCAGAACCACGTTGAAAGCAAAATTAAGCAGAGCTTCAAGGAGCTTCGCGACTTCCTGCAGATCGAGGAGGCGGCCAAGTTGGTTGCTCTGAACGAGGAAGCGCAAAGGAAGAGTCAGATGATGGAGGAGAAGATTGGGGTTCTCAGCAAAGACATGGCCGCTCTCTCAGGCACCATCCAAACCACAGAGAAGCAGCTGAGCTTGAACCAGGTTTCCTTCATGAACAACTACCAGAATGTGATGAGCAAAATCCAACAGCTGCCTGAAAAACCCAAGATGCCCTCAGGAGCTCTGCTGGATGAAGTCAAACATCTGGGCAACCTCAAGTTCACCGTGTGGAAACAAATGAAGGAGATGGTATCCTATAGTCCCGTGATTCTGGACCCAAACACGGCCTCTCCACAATTCAGTCTGTCCGAAGATTTGACCAGTGTGAGTTTGAACGTCAAAGAGAAGCGTCCAGCCAATCCGGAAAGGTATCAGAACTGGAACCGTGTCCTCGGTTCTGCTTTGAACTTCGGAACACACGTGTGGGATGTTGAGGTGGGAGACAACACCAACTGGGTACTGGGCGTGGTTGGGGGGGATTATTATTTGCCACATAGCTCCTTTGTGTGGGGCATTAGCTTTTGTGATGATAAATACAAAACTGTTTCACTACCTTATCACTCCAAGAATCTGCCAGTCAAAGAGAAAGTGCAGAGGATCCGAGTTCATTTTGACGCTCACACAAGATCAGTGTCATTTTCTGATTCTCTGACAAACACTGAATTATACACGCGCAAGAACATTCCCAATTGCCCAAACCAGTCCGATGACTGGAAAATGTATCCTTACGTTTACACGAACGACAAAGGTCCTTTGAAAATAATACCACTTACACTTTGTGTTACAACTGAAATCCAGAAATGATTTTGAAGTTGCTGTCACAATATGAGATACAAAAGTATCTTAACAAAGAGTGACATTTTTACTAACACATGTGTAGCATTCATATTGAGACTTAAGATCATATAAGAAAAAGACATATGGGCTAAACTCTCACCCAGAAAGTAGAACTAAAAGCGACATTATGTTCATTATTAAAAGTAAAAAATTAAAAGCTACATTATTACCAGCCGCGAGAGTGGCTGTCTTTACAGCAGCTCCTATATTTTGTTCTTCTACTTCTTCCTTTCATCACTTTGCTGCTGTTAATTGGGAATTTCTCCATCGTGAGACTAATAAAGGTTTTCTGATGTGATCTGTTGGTTACGTTGCGTGCAATGGCCACCGCTAGGTTTCAGAATCCATATTTGCTGTCACTGTACGGTACTAAGTTTTGAAAGTATCTCTGCCATCCAATATAGAGCACGTGTGAAATAAAGGTGCGTTGGTGACAAACGGCGTGTGCAGTTTATTTCAAGTTTCATTTCGTGTTCTGTACATTTACCATTCCGTGTATTTGAATAGCCTTTATTGGAGGTTTACACAAATGACCATAGGGCGCAAATATGAAATGACGTGGAAGGAGCAGTAGAGGGAAATCGATGAATGTAAAATACAAGTCTTTACAAAAAACTGTTTCCACTGCTGCGGGTATACAGTATATTCGCAGACATACAAAAGATGTTAGATGAAATAGGACCCATTTTCCAGGTTGTATTCATGGTACTTTACAGTTGAGTCAGTTGAAACACTCAAGTCACTGCTGCTAACAACGTATCTATTTCTGCTGACCACGAAGGCCACTTGAGGATCTCATCTCGTGCTTTATTAATGTCCAACACTGGATGACCGATCATTTTCTCCCAACTTAACGAGGGCAAACAGAAATTTAGTTGGTAATGCTCTGAAGCATCGTGTTTCGTAGCTTTTGACTCCCTTTTCAGTAAAAACCCACTTGAGCACCTCAGAAACGCAGCTGTAAATTTTGATGAGAATTTCAACTTTAAAAAGAATATTTTAATTCTTATATTTTTTTCTGAACAAATCAAGCACTCTAATGGGGTTGTTACTGATCGGGAAAAGTCATTCGCAGTTATGTGTCTTTTTTGGACACAGCACAGAAGGTCATGGTAAAGGTTAGCTATGGGAATATGGAGCTATCGGGCACTTCAACACTCTTGTGCAACCGTTATTTTTTTTCTCAATTCATCATCGTTTGTTTCAGCAGTGTTGAAGCACAAAATTCCCACACTGCAGGAAAACACACTGCAGGTGTTTTCATGCTTGGATATCTTCAGTGGAAATATCATGAATCCATGTGTGGCTGTGCTGAAGAATTTTACCTCCTTATCTGAACCACCGTTGAACCAACAAAGTATTTTTGGCTCCAGTCACCAGATTTTTTTTTTTTTTTTTAATCCACATCATTTATTTTTGTCGGCTCTCCAGATATGAGCATCACGTACAGGCGACATCTCTCATCGCCAGGTGTTTTATTTGTTCCCTCCACATACCGTCCTTGAATGTCACCTGCAGAGGGTAATAATATTGTCCAAATATTTATCACAGCATATTTCTACCTTTCATGTCGCTCCAGACAAGTCTCCAAGCTCATCCTTATCCAAATATGCAAAATTGAGGGTTCTAGTATAATTTAGTTTTCTGAATGTGTCCAAAACACATGCGAGCCTCTCAGTTGTTAGAATGAATGTAGTCTTGTACCATATTTAATGTGGTGACTCCTCAATAGATGCTATATGATGAATAATTTTGGGTATGTCTCATCTAGCTGCACTCTCATATCTCTGACAGTTTCTTCGTGTGTGATTGTCATATATGGAATTGATGGAATTTTCATCCACTATATAGCTTGTTACTTAGAGTGAAGGCTCTCTTTGTCAAAGAAAGACGAATGAAACGGCCATTATGAGGTCTTCCAACCTCTCCAAAAGTCACTTAGCGTGCTCATCCTGGTGGAAATTGATATCTAGTCATCATCATTGGGAAACATGGAATTCAGTAAGCATGACTATCATAAATAAACCCACAAAAAAGAGAAGTCTCGGAATAGGCCTATGACCTTGCTAGCTATTGCTGGCTGGTGGCTAGCTAAATAGAGCTAGGCTTATATTAATTCATATCAACGACATACGAGTGGAAATCCACATAGGCTGGAGGTATCCAACATGCGGCCTGGGGGCCATTGGGGACCTATATGGTTGATGTTTTGCGTCCCCTACTTGACATAAAACTTGTAATATTAGGACGGCCCATCTTTTTTGTCATGTCGTTGCTTTGGGCGTTTTGTTCCTTTGAGTTCATTTTTAATCACTTACGGACTCCCGTAATTTGAGCCCATAACAGCTTTTGTCGAAACGTAATTCTGAAGTGATATCAAGTGAAGGGGCAAGGGTATCCTGTCATGTCTTTTTCACCCCCTGCCGTGAAGAGAAAAGGTTTAAGGATGAGAACAACCAGTTTTAACAAAAACAGGTAACAGAATTTTTTTATTGAGCACAGGGCCACCCCAAGAGCTCTTGAACGCACGGAGAAAGTTGCGGGGCTCAAGAAATCAGACTTCATTACTCAATTAAGACATGCTGACAAGTATGCAAGGTACTAGGGAGATGACAGAGAAGACCGCGTCACCAGTCTTGTTCACCTTTTGAAGAACCTTCAATTTTCTGAACTCATGTTAATAAAGATTGAGAATGGATTAGTTGTTTTTTTTGTTTCTTTTTTTTAATACTGAATCTATTTTTGTGTGCAACACTCATTGTGGCCCAGGCACATGCAGATTCTGGTTACAACGTCTGGCCTTGAGTTTGACAACCGTGGTGTAATTCATTCTTTTGATGTTGTTTTATTGGGTTTCCTTGAGGACATTGCAGAGCTCGTGGGTGGTTTTGCACCTTCTCTTACCCTCCTGTTAATCTATTCCTTCCTCTTTCGGTGTGTGTTCTGGCTCATCCTCCATGTTCTTTCACACAAATCATGGGACAGGACAACAATGTTAAGCATCTCAAGGCCAAGGGGGGCTACAGAAAGATAAAAAGCCAATTTTCCCAGCAACTGACAGGCAATACCTTGCAGAGCATCCTCCCGTCTGGTCACTCCTACTGCCGCCCGTCATCACAAGAAGCTGTCGCCGCCGCCACTGTCGTCGTGTTCCCTCATCGCATTCCTCCCATCCAGAGACCCGAGATGTCCTATGCCTCCGTCGTCGTGATGGCACTGATGTGCTCATCTGTGGCGATTGCGTTTGTCCTGCAGCCTTCCAAGCCAAACGATGCCTTGCCACAAGACTCCAACAGCAGGTAGGTAACGTTCCATTTAGATACTCTTAATGATGTTATTTTTCTTTGCATGATTGTTATAAGCATTGATGGGTTGAATGCTGCTTTTAGAAGTGCATGGCGGGACACTTGAATGCTCTTTCGGGGCCGCACACGGGCCACAGGTGTCCAAGCCATGCTTTTCAGAATTTGTAGAGAATTGTTGACACAACAGCAATTTGTAGCTGACGAATGAAAAAGGCTGTTTCTCCACTTTTTAACATTAAGATGTTGTATCTCAACCTAGGAAAACTTGTGACTACCATGACCATAATTTTTTAATGTGTACATGTAAGCCCAGAAGACAAAAAAAACAAAAAAACCCAAACATATTTTTGATAGGTTTAAAAATAAATGCATTCATTAAATATATAGTGTTGTATTTGTATTTTTGTTGGATGTTCTCCCTGTACCTGTGTGTGTTTTCAACATGTGCGCCGGTTTCCTCCCACATTCGAGAAACATGCATGGCAGGTTAATGGAAATCTCAAAATTGTCTCGAGGTGTGAATGTGAGCGCGGATGGTTGTTCATCTATGTGTGCGATGCAATTGGCTGACAACCAGTTCAGGGTGTCCCCCACCTACTGCCCGAAGACAGCAGAAAATGGATAGATGGATGATTTATTAGTTGTATTCAATTGTATTCAGCATTGTGTTTTGTTTAGCATTTTGTGAGAGGGAAATTCATACTTTTTTTTTTTTTTGGTTATGCTTTGATTCACATGTTAGAATTTATGGCTGTGTCTTAAATATTTGTACACGAAATCATTTTGAAGTTATGGTTGCTGTTTGCGTGCAGGTGCCATGGTGAGTCCCTGCAGTCCATCCGAAAGGGACTCTTGGCTGCGCTCAATCTGCAGACCGAACCGCGGCTGCCAAAGGGCGGCAGGAAGCAGTGGAGCGGAACTGCAGAGCGGCTCAAGGCTGTTGAAGGTAAAACTACAGTGCACATATTGACAACCTGAATCCCAAGAACTTTGGCACCCAATTTCCTTTCTACTTCTGTAGTTTTTTCCAGCTCCTCCTCTGATGGCCAGGACACCGCAGGATGCTGTAACGAGACCTCAGAGGTTTTCATGACAGGTACACAATTACAGTATCTCCACTTTATAGGGATTTGGTGTTTCCTTTTCTTTTTAACAGCTTCTTATCTTAAAATAAATATGATACTGTATAAAACATACAAATGTTGATTTTAATAAAGCAGAAAGTCAATATCTATGTAAAATAACAAACATGTCAGCAGTCTCACATGCTTTTCATTCTCTTGGGGTTTGAACCATCTCAACACACGTCACAACAAGCAGCAGTATCGCAGACTGACAGCATTTTTTCCAAAATATACTCGTCAAGCTGTTTATCACCACACCCAGTTGAGGTTGAACTAAAACTTTGGCACCCAATTTCCTTTCTACTTCTGTAGTTTTTTCCAGCTCCTCCTCTGATGGCCAGGACACCGCAGGATGCTGTAACGAGACCTCAGAGGTTTTCATGACAGGTACACAATTATCTCCACTTTATAGGGATTTGGTGTTTCTTTTTCTTTTTAACAGCTTCTTATCTTAAAATAAATACGATACTGTATAAAAACATATAAATGTTGATTATAATAAAGCAGAAAGTCAATATCTATGTAAAATAACAAACATGTCAGCAGTCTCACATGATTTTCATTCTCTTGGGGTTTGAACCATCTCAACACACGTCACAACAAGCAGCAGTATCGCAGACTGACAGCATTTTTTCCAAAATATACTCGTCAAGCTGTTTATCACCACACCCAGTTGAGGTTGAACTAAACATAGAACTAAGACAATGGCATGTTATGTATTTAAAATAACCACATACTTTGCCTGAAACTCCACTTGCTGAATGTTAACACAATAGGAAACTCCACAGATGGGCTAATGAAAAGATCTTTGAGTATAAACAGTGGGAAAACACTTGTAGACATATAATAAAGTTTAACAATACTTATAGGTATATATTACTTTGCAAAAAAAAAGCTAATATTACTGCAGCTTACTTAGTCAAATTGTTACCGTCTTGTTTGTGTGCCTCTGTACTATACAGCCCCTGGTGGCCAAGGCGTGCACACCAGGAATGTCCATTGAATTGAAGCAAGAAATGTGACAAAATATTTTAATCCTTTACTTTTTATTGGTTTGTGTCAGTACAGTATGTTTATTGGGTGCGGAGAGTGCTATTTTTCCGATTAAAAATACATTGCCAAAAGTTTTTTTTTAAAATTAATGTTATTTCCATTCATTTCGCTGTGTTAATTCATTCCCTGTTTTTCCTTCAGATCTGGGCTGGGACAATTGGATGATCTATCCCGAGCGCGTCACCTTGGTGCACTGCGCCCCCTGCGGCCACAGAGCGTCGTGCAGATCCCACCCCAATGACCCCCAACGTGATGACTTGCAGGTGTGTTTGCTTCACATGAGTTTGATTTGCTGCCTCCTGTCTTTATTTTATTATTATTATTTTTTTTTCACTCTCGCAGCCCTCAACCTCTGGATGTTTTCAAAGCTCGGGCAGCTGGCAATAGATAAGCCACAGTGTTGCCAACATATATGTTGGAGCGCTACAAGTCTTAGAAATTTTTTAAGTTTTTAAAATGTAGACTTTATCAACTACCTTTTTTTTTCAATTAAGCCATCCACTGAATAGCAATAAGTAACATGCTTAAGGGATTATTATTGATTCTCTGTGTCGTTATTTGGATTATTCTAGTGTTTATTACCCTCCTGTGTGTTCATGTTTCTACAGGTCCAGCAGCCATGTTGCCAGCCCACCGCCCAGGAAGCGGTGCCAGTCATGTACAGGGATGAGTGGAACACGGTGGTCATCACTTCCATGCACCTGACCCGCCGCTGTGGCTGCGCAGCTGCCATGCAGCTCCCCCAGGAGTAACGTGTCACCTACAGTGCACCACAGTTCCTAAACTCGACAATAACTTCGTGTACTGCTATAATATCGCACTGTCAAAAAAAAAAGCCCTTTGCCAAGAAATTCAAGACTTATTACGTTTAAGGCCTCATTCAGTCAACAGGATGATATATGATTTACAGTTTTGTAATATGACATAATAAATTATAAAGTAGAATGAAGGCCTTTCATTTATTGAAATTTAAGACATTTCCAGAGCCTTTTAAGATCACTTCAATCAAATTTAAGACTTTTTTTTCACGAAATAAAAACACTAAGAGAGTGGACTATATATATATATATGTTTTTTTTTAAATGACAATCATATTTTTGACATTTACAAATACTTTTTAAGTATGAGCTCAATATATTTATAACAATTCAAGCCTTTTAAAAATCTTGACAAATGACAAATTAGATCAAATGTAAGACCTATTGAATGACTAGACTAGGGTCCTCTCCGCAGAGATTCCTAGTCGCCCCCTACTGGAGACATGTATACTTTGTTTTTGCGTTTCGGGTGAAAAGCAAAACAAAAGGTTGGAGATACTGTCCATGCTTCTTAATGATCAGCGACCATATAACCGATAATTGGTTCTTTTTCTCTTTACATTACTGAGTGCTGAGCAAAGTTGTTTGTTTTTTGTCACTGGTTTTAATTTCTGTATCTGCTCACTTTTTACAGGGTTACCTCACACCAGTATTTTTCTATGATTCGTCGTTATGTTTTTTTTTATATATATACACCGGTACACGTTTATGTGTTCGTAGCATCTCAATTTAACCTTCATATATGCTGGTGAGACGTGTCTCACTGTATTCATGATTCACTGATGCCATTTCTTGTTGAATAAAGGTTATTATAATCAGCTTCTCATGTTCTGATTGTGCAGTCTTTGTCGATTACACTGGCCTGCATAAATAATATTTTTATATATATTTTAACAATTTTTTATCCCCCCACCCCTCACTACAATATAGACTGTAGAAACATGGTTTGGCAAAAAAAAAATTGTCCCGGTAGTATGATTTGACTCAACGTGAATTGCTTGATTTTTGCCACGGTAACTTGAGAATTGTTTGAAATTTGACTTGAAACGTATGACTTGCATATATGTGACGTACTCACATCTCTACTTTAATGTAGCCTTGAAAGAAATGCTGTCTGAGGCAGGACATCACGTTGTCGTTGTCGCCCGAGTGTAATAATAAAGATGCACTGGACCTTTAAGCGACAAACACGTGGCACTATCATACTTCCGTCCAAACCGAAAACAAACCAAGCGAAGCGTTTTTGAACGCTACGCCTCGAGATGCGCTCTTCACCGAAACGTGACGGGAAGTCGCGGTGCTAATAAGTGGCCGAACGAGGTCGTCGTTTCAAACCGCGTCTTGTGCGATCGCGTATGCTTCTCCCGGAAAAAATGGAGGCTGGCACGCTGGTATCTGACATCGAAGATGTCTCTGTGCTCTTCGGACAGCAACAACATTCCAGCAAATGTCAAGTAAGTGACATCGCAGCCGGTGGCGCAACTATCAATGCCCCCTTTTGTGAATCCACCGTTATGGTTCCTCAGGAGCTCAGCGGCTTGTTTTCCTTCGTGAGGAGAGTGCGAGGCGATGGAAATTGTTTCTACAGAGCCTTTTGTTTTGCCTATTTGGAATCAATCCTGCACAACGTCAAGGCTTTGCAAAGGTCACTATTATCATCACCAACTACTTTTTTTTCTTCTGCAACTAAAACTTATGGTTGTTGTCGTAAATGATCAAACGTTCAGGTTCAAGGAGAAAATCATCACGACCAGCGAACACCTCTCCTCCGCAGGATTTGATCAGAGTTCCTTCCAGCTTCACCTGAACACAGTAAATCATGTTTTGTTATATTATACAAATAAAACGAAAATAAAACTATCGAACCCGTCAAAACGAAATAAAAACTGAAATCTCGAAGTATTGGGGTCATAGGTCCGATAGAGCTTGCATTGATGTGCTAATATTGTTGCCATAGTGTCATTAATTTATATTTAAAAGTTGTTACAACTTAAATTAGTTTTAGTTCCATTGAAACCTTAACCCTGTTTGGGTATTTTCTGTTTTTAATTTTCACTCGAAAAGATCCTCAATGTCATTGAGCATTGCGAGGGCAGCAAGCGGGAGGATATCCTGCTGAGGTTCTTCAATGATCACGTGACCTCGGACAGCGTGGTGCAGTACCTGCGCCTGCTCACATCCGCGCACCTGCAGAACCACGCCGACGACTTCTGCAACTTTGTGGAAGCGCCCAGTCTGCAGGTCTACTGTCATCAAGTCAGTTGCTGCCGTCGAGTGAACAAACGGGTCATAGTCAGCAGCAGGAGTGAGCAAACATTTGCGCTCGGAGGCCACGATTGACAGATCTCTTTCACTTTAGTTTAATTTTAGGGAAAATTGCAAAGTTCAATAATTCATGACTCAATAATGAACAGAGCTTCCATGATGTGGCCCCCGGGGCATACTTTGTTCATCCCTGCGCTACGGTGTATATCCTTAAAATAAACTTGTTTTACCTACGTGCAGGAAGTAGAAGCCATGGGGATGGAGTGTGACCATGTGGACATCCTGGCTCTGACTCAGGCACTGGATATCTGTATCCACATTGTGTCAATGGGCGGCGAAGACGAGCAGTTGGTGCACCACGTTATCCCTGATGGGGCCGAGCCCGCCATGCACCTCCTCCACCACGTATCACACTTTAGCATTCTGGGCCCACGACCCCCACTCTTGAATGTTCCCTCGCAGCAGTCACAGACACGATCGACTGGGATCGCGTTTCATTCTGAAAGCACGTTTTAGGACAGGGTGCGACTTCTCTTCTTCACACGTGTGATTGTACACTGTCAAATGTTTTAAAATGCACTCTCAACTGTAATAGACATTTTCATTCAAGGGGAAGTCAGCCCCAAAATTGTCTTTACAATATGTTCTATGTGACCCCATCGCATAAATGTGGCATTCTGATGAATTGCGTTTGTGAAATGAGTCAAGCAGCAAAATCCACCCGTTTTTGTCCCATTTCAGGGGCCATTTTGCCAGTTGCTGTCAAATGAAAATGACAAATTTGCTCAGGGCTCAGGTAATGATCAATCATGGCTCAGTTCAGAAAACGGGTGCTCTGTGAGCAACTGTGTTGTCATTTTCACTCGACAGAAGGTGGCAAAATGGCCACCACCCTGAGATGGGTAAAAACGGATGAACTTTGCTAAACTCGTATTCCCCAAAAGCAATATTGATAATACAATGTTTGGACTAGTGGAGGCGCATAGAACATATGACGGTAAGGAAAATTTTGGGGTTGACTTCCCCTTTAAAGGACAACAGTTGTGGATCTTGGCGTTTTCACAAATACTAAGGCATGGAAGAAAAAAAAATGACATCGGCATTGCCAGAAGATCATGTTCCGTTAGCTAATGGTCCAATCTGATTTCAGATATCATCACCCTTTCTTATACCATCTTGGGGATGCAATGCTATGATGTGCCCTCATGTTTTACTAATGTGAGTCTCTTTATTTCCTCCTACTCACATGTAATTAGTGGAACACTTTGAGTCATTAAAATAGCAGTTTTTAATGAGGCAAAACTGCAGTGGATGTGATTTTTGTCCAAAAATTGTCGGATTCCAAGAAAATTGCAGATTGTTCAATGCCGGCCTTTTTTCTGCTTCCTTTTTTTGTGCTGCGGCGGATCCGTTTTCTTTTTATTCTGCTGCGCCGACACACTCATGAGGGCGCTTTGCTCCCCCGTGACGGGCAGGTTAGCCAAGCACAGGCGCCCCATCTGGGTGGGGTACTTGGTCTTTGTCACGCTCTTGAACACAGGCTGGGAGATGAGATGTTTTAAGTGTTTCTTCATCCCTTTCACCATCTTCTGTTGCACTCTGTCATCATCTTCATCCCTCCCTTTGCCTGCGGAAGTTTACAGAATGTTCAGTCCTCTGCATTTGATTGGTTCTAAATGTGGCCTCGATGTGCTGTTGCGCTCACCAAGCAAAAGATCCTCGTCTAGGTCGATGTCCATAGCTTCTGCTGCTTCCCTCAACCAGGAGTTGTGGTGTTTTTGCCTGCTGTTGTAGAACTCAATTTTTTCTATCTTTCGGGCCAAGTTTACACGCTCCTGTGTCGAGATTGACAATTCCAAACACGAAATACACACATCAGAGACTAATTAAATAGAGGACTTTAATCGACGGCTCTCGCCTTGATTGCCTCCATGAAGTGAATCTCAACAGGAAACGGGGGAAGCGCCTCGTCCTTTCCGAGGTTCTTGTAAATCTTTTTGAAGTTTATCAAGTCGTCGGGGCCGATGAGCAGCAAACTGAGACCCTCTTTTGTAGCTCTGGCTGTCCTGCCACTGCGATGCACGTATGTTTCGGATGTGCGAGGAACCTGAAGGTGGGAGGATATTTACTCGGGGTGGGTAAAAATAACGATGCGTTAATGCATTGCAATACTTCCCATCATAATTCAATATCGATTCAGCAAATCTCTGTGTATATATACATCGGCATATTAAGGTGAAGGTGATTATCACAGTTCCAAATACAAGTCAGTGTTGGCACAAAAATTTTAGGCTTCTGCTCAATGGCAAAAAATAAATTAAAAAAAAGGCAGAGAAAGCCTACTAGAACATCTTAACTTCACTTGGAGTTAATCAGAGGCACTTTAAATTAGAGCTGTCACTATGGAATATTTTGAGAGTCAATTAACCCATCGATTACTCGAATAACCCCCCCAAAAATATTTTGCATGAAAGTATTAGCATTTTTATTCATTAGTTTTTAATGAATGGTTAATGAATAATACAAAGGGCTACCATGTGGCTTGACTCCCCGTGAATCTCAACTCAATTTTTCGACGGCCATCACCTGGGTCTCAGTGTAAAGGCTGGCTTAAATTTGTCTGTCAGCGTCTTATTTTTTTTCTGAGACTGCACTTGTCTAGTTTGAGTCACATTCACAAATACAGAGCCCGCAAAGCAGTACAGTTCAGTCACAAATGTTGCCACCTTGCCAGAATAATCGTGTAGTACTGTTGACATTTCAGTTGTTTGACCCTCGGTTTCAAAACGTTCACTGAAAGGAGAATGTCAAGTAAGAAATCTTACCTGGTAGTGAATGACATGCTGCACATTGGGGATATCCAGTCCCCTTGCGGCTACATCAGTTGTCAGCAACACACAACTGTGTTTAAAAAAATAAGAACAAGAACGCGTTGGACCTGGTACTTTCTCGAGGCATGTTTGCTCAAACTGTTGTCACGTTTCCTCGGAAGTGTAGTGTTTCTAGCAGATAGCATTTTTTTTTTTTTTAATTGGATGGAATGCTACTACCGGAAGTAGTTGGACTCGGTGACATTTCGAACAGAAGCTCCACAGTTGATCGTGTGCAGATACCCAAAATGCAGCAGTGAGAAGCCTCACCTCTCCCTCTCAGCAAACCTCTCCAGGTTTTTCAGCCGCTGCTTCTGGTGCATGTTGGCGTGCAGCGACAGCGGCGTGCAATCCAGAATGATCAGCAGCGAGCTGAGTCGCTTGATGCAGTCGATGCTGTTGGCGAACACCATGGTGCGTCCGGGATACTGCAAGAGGAAGTAGTAGAGGAAAAAGTCCTTGTCCTCTTTCTGACAGTGAATCTGCGTTTCGGTCAAGGTCTCCACAGTCGCCTGCTTCCTGGTCAGGTCGATCACTTTGGGCTTGGACTTGATCCCCACTTTCTCCATGAGGAGCGCCACCTTGTCGGTCTGCTGCACCTTCTTCTTCTTCTTTTGGACCACGCGCATGGGTAGGCTGTGGGTCATGGTCAGTGTGGCGGAGAAAACAAATATTTGCCTCTTGGGATTGAAGTGAGTGGTGTTCAGCATTTCCAGCAGACACTCCAGCTCAGCGAAATGGCCTCGTTCGACCATGCGGTCGGCTTCGTCGATCACGAGGCTCCTGGAGAAGGCACCAACGCAGCAAACAATTACGACCGCGGCAAAATAACTTTTCTTGAGTTGCCAGAAGCAGAGGTGTGACCAACTTGAGCTGTCTAAGGTTGAGAAGATGTGGATGTCTCTCTTTGATCAAGTCCCACAGACGGCCAGGAGTGGCGATGATGATTTCTGGTCTGTAATTCAACATCCTCCTCTGCTTCTGTGGTGCCATCCCACCCACCACTATGGCAGTCTTGATGTCTGTGCAAAAGCACCCATTTTATTGAGAGCTATATTGACAATCGACGTATTGGCCAACATGAGGTGGCAATGCGTTGCGTGGGACTTGTGAATTATTTGTTGATTAAACATGACATGAAACAATTGAGGCAAAATGCCAGACACTAATTATCTGTGTGTGACTCACCAGTGAACGTTGCCACAGCATCGATGTGGTGTTTCACCTGGACTGCCAACTCCCTCGTGGGGGTGAGGACCAATCCGAGCAGAGGCCGAGCCTGGCCAACAGTGGCATTCTTTTCCCTCGCAGCGGAGTCGGCGTCAAACACGTCTTCGATGACCTGCACGCACCCAAGCCTCCCATCCTCCTCTTGATCGTCATCGTCAGAATCGTGGTCATCCGCACTTGCATCTTCTGCAGATTCGCCTTTGTCAGCCACCCCGGTGACACTTCCTTCTTCCTCGTCCCGCTCCTCAGGTTCCGCTTCAGGGGACTCTGTCAAACTTCCATGTGCCTTGCCTGGTTTCACGCTGTCATCTTGAGGGTTTTTCATGCTTTCCTTCCACTCCAGGATGTTATGAATCATGGGAATACCAAAAGCTAATGTTTTACCACTTCCTGAAATGACAGAATATTTGTCTCAGTCTACAACAGGGATAGGCAATCGGTGGCCCGCACCCACACTCTTGAGTGTCCCCTCGGGAGGAATTATAAACTCTTCTACTCCCTACACACATTTAAAAGTATTTTGTCCATTATTAAAAAAAGCAATGATGTCACACATCGGCTTAGCATTGCGTGGTCCTATGCGGACCCCCCAGTAGTGCTGATGGAAAAATAGTGCCCCCCTTCCCCTCCATAAGTTGTCCATATCTGGTCAATAATGTGAGGTGTGTGGGGAATATGTTGAGACTCTTACCGGTCTCAGCTGCTCCTAATATATCCATACGATCTCTGATGGCTGGAGGGAGCACCAGGGCTTGAATTGGGGTCGGTGATGTGAAGCCAAGGCTGCTGAGGGCCTTCAGCACAACAGGTGGTACAAACAGGCCTTTCCATGCACGCATATCAGCGTTTTTTACTTCAGAACCAGAAAGAACAGCATTCGTCCAGTTTTTCTGTTGCTTTTTAGGTCTTGTCTCTTTATTTTGAGTGGTGTTGGTATCTTCCACTCTGCCCTTTTCTTTTTGCCCCTTTTTTTTCTTCTTTAGTTGAGTCTTACTCTTAAGTTTTGTTTGACCTACGGTAGTGGCGGCTGATACAACTTTGGATGTGCCCTCTTGATCAGTAATCATTGCCTCTTCCTCACCTGCATCTTTCTGCATCACCTCCACTGCGAGGGTCTCATCTTTGGTGGAACCGGTTTTTGAAATGTTCTTTTTTTTCTTTTTCTTGACAGGGGCAGAAGTCTTTTCGGATTCTTTGCTGTCGACGTCTCCCTTTTCGACCACCTCCTCATTTTCACTTGACTTTCTTTTCTTTCCTTTTTTCTTTCCGCCTTGAGTTTCATTTTCTGCATTAACTCCAAGATTTTTAAAGTCCACTAGGCAATAATTTGTCAGTTTTTCAAAACAAACCACACCGTCCAGCAGGCCCTCCTCGGAAAACAGCTCGGGATCCAAGTCCACCGCCTTCCATTGGCCCTTCTCTTGAATGCTCCGTTTTTTGTGCTTGGGTGGCGCGAAGTGCATTCGCTTCTTTTTCGTCTTCTTTGTGTCCATTTTCTGAAAATGCTAACAGAAACGAGACGGGGGGACGCGTGGTCTGTTTAGCAAGCAGCAACGGGTAACTCACGCAATAAAATTGGTTCTGTGGGGCCAATTTGCTCCTTCGAAAATCACAGATGAAACCACTTCGATCAGCAACACTATCACCTCTTGATCGCGTTAAAATATTGAGTTCTACTGCACATGTCACAAGAGCGCAGCCATTACTGGTTGTCACGTGGTTAAAAAAAACTACCTTGTTGGTTCTTCTTTTCGAGTTTCATGGCGATTGGCAAGAAACTTAAGTGCAATACTGCCACCTACTGCTAAGGAGTGTGAATCAGGTTTGCCGCTTCAGTATATCACCCCGAAAACACACGCGCGCACACACACACACACACACACACACTCACACACACACACACACACACACACACACACACACACACACACTAACCTATTCATCCATTGTCTGATCACCTTATCCCACCTGATTTAGGCGGGGTACACCCTGAACTGCTTCCAAGACAATTGGAGAGCATACGCAGACGAACACTAGCGCTCACAATCACACCTTGAGATTTTTATGTAGAAATAAACATTTTAAAAATGTTCCGCAAGCGAACACTAAATGGCGTGACGTCATCTCTTCTGCGCTCGCAGTGCACTTCGGAGACGCGTGTTGACACACTAGGATGAGGATGTGGTGAATGCTTACGCACACACACGGATTTCATCCCAAAATTCGAATTGAACATTAAGACCTGCAGTGTGAATCTTCCCAGGAAACCAGTAAGACAACTTGAAAAATGTTTAAAAATGGGAATCTCTCTTTAACCAAGCAGATTCCAGTTTTACTTCACAGGGTGACCCACAACAACAACGATCACCATTTTCCCCGTCCTCTGACTGGTTCGTCGAGGGGGAGGGGGGGGACGTCTGTTTTTCTTGTTGGAATACACAAATACAGCAGCACTTTTGATAGCGTTTTATTACATATCAGGGATCTTTTACATCATATACCAGCAGAAGAATTTCAAACTAAGTCTGACCTTTAAGAAGCTTTGCCTGAATAAACAAGTGCTAACGCATTTCCAAAGTCAAAGTACAGCAAGTCACGGCTGCTAGTTTTTGGTGGGGTCAATCACCCTGCCCATGAACAACAGCGATTTTGTCTCTTCATGATATATGAAGAAGAAAAACGGACGGTTGACAATGAAAGTCCGCGGTAAAGAGTAGGGAATAATGCCAATTGTTGTGGCAGCCGCTGCGGTCGTCCCCACTTCATCAACATCAACGACGGCTTTGTGTAGCACCTGCAATTAAAAGTCAGTTGAAGACATTTGAAAGGGGAACGTTGCAGACTGAAATGCGCATGCGTGTAATTGTAAACTGACCTCTGAAACCTTAAGGCCTTGGTCCTTGCTCAGCTTAGTCAAATTGGCGGAGCCACTGAAGAGATTGGTGAAACCCATATCCGGGAGAATCTCATGCAAAGCGTACGACTCCTCCATCTTAAATTTGGGGATGTTGATCTCCAGTTTACTGTGAACATAATGACCCCGTTAGGCAGTCTGACCCATTGTCACATACCATTTCAAAAAGTACACCTCACGTCTTTTGCAGTTTTTTGATCCAACCAAGCATTCTCTTTGCAGTGATCTCATCATCGATAGTGCTGTAATCCACTCCTTTGTTAGGCAGCAGGATGAGCATGGCCACACCTTCCAGGTAGGGCAGTTTCAACACACGGGCACCAAGGCGAGTGTCTTCCATTGTTTCAAACTTGTCCTCTTTGATCATCATTGGCACTTGTGGAATGTTGTAGTTGTCGACGTAGAAAGGTGCATTGTATGTGTAGTTGGGGTTGAAAGGCATTTTCCACCCACCTGTGAACGTCAAAAGTACATGACAGGGAAGCACATGAGGTTGTCTGCAAAGAAACCGTCAATAATAAATGTAAACTGACCTTGGAAGTAAAAAGTGTTGATCATCATGAGCTCGGTTATTGGATCAATTGCTGAGAGCATTTTTGTCACTTTGCCCCTCGTCTTGTGTTTTATATACTCATTAATGAGACTGACGCTTGCGTTTGTGTCTTCAAAGTCTACACTCTTAATGTCTGCCAAAAAATAGGACTTCATCTGTTCCTCAAAAGTCTTCTCCATTCTAAACTTTTGGTCGACAAAGAGGGACATGCCTTGGTCCAGTTTCGTCGTTCCATTCTGCGAGATGTTCCCATTGAGCATTTGGAATAACTTGGGAATAAGATCTGGGTGGTCCGCTTGCTCCAGGTTCTCCAGTTTGAGCCCTTTCAGTATTTCCTCGTACGTACTACCATCAGAGGCCATGGAGAGGGCGGCAAAACTGGTGGAAATGCTTAGAGGGGAGAAAATGATGTTCTTGTCGTGGTAAGTGGAGATTTTGCGGTAAAGGTCCATCGCAAAATCCATATTTTTGAAGGAGAGATTCAAAATGCTGGAATAGGGAAGCGGCGCTTGCTGCGCCGGAGTGACGAGAAACATGAGCACAAAAACGAGGCCCATCTTCATCTTGTTTGTCGCCATTATTTGTGTCTGGGAATGTTGCCGCGCACAACCTAAAACGTGAAGACAAACATGGAAATGGAAAATTCAAATAATTGTGATAATACACCCAACATAGACATTTCCAGATCACTCTCTTGCTTACCATCCATCCTGAGTAACATTAAGTCCAAAACTTATTTGGGGAAACAAAGTGCAAGTGTGTTTTGAGTGTTACATATTAACCAAGGCACATGGCCTATTTGCTGTCAGCTGCCCCCTCCTTCCAAATATGTTGATGCATCCGGTGTGTGCGCACGCATTTGTGGATGCAAGCAGGACAATAAAACAAATACATTACACTCTACTGGGTGAGGGTCATTTTTGAAAATTAATTTTAGAAAGCAAGTGATCCAGATAATATTTAGTCGGAACCTCTCAATCTCGCACACCAGCTCAGGCTCTTTCCTGCCAGAGAAGTGAAATTCCACATCCCTACAGCCCGCTTTCATAGCTTCTGATCTGACCAACTAAATTGCGGCCTTCACCTGCCAGCTCACAGTCAAAATGACAACTTATGAGCAGGGATCCACGTTGTCTCTTCAAGGTGTGCCAGGCAAGTTTCCATACGTTCAAGGGAAAAGGTGTTCCAAAAATTCTCTTCAGCGTAGGCTGTTTAAAGCCATGTTCCTTATCTGTGTGCTCTATTGATGACACTACCAGGGGCACGAAGCCGCTCCAACAATTTAGCTTTGAGCACGAAACCCGGTGTAAGGCCAGTTCTTCCTTTTGTACGTTCCAATCAATGCGCAATTGACAGCGCCTATTGAGTGACTCGACACCTCCCTCTAGTGGCCCTCATATAAATATTCAAATTAATATAAACGGCATGCCGGTGGAATTGAACTCTGCGGAATCAGACTATCAAACCATAAGTCACGAATAACACACAAAAAAAAAGAGGGAACTTAAAATGTGAGCTCGAGATGCGAGTAAACGACATTAAATTCTATTGACACAAAGCAAAGGATTTGCAAAAAAAAATTATATCCTTTATATGTGTGTGTGTGTTGTTTTCTTCTTTTTCTAAAAAGCCACCCACCCCCAGAAAAACTCCACCAGCCGCCAGTGCCAGCATCACCTCTACGACTGGTGGCGCGCTATGACTAAAAGTTGAATAAAATGACCAAAAGCATTGTGAATGTCTTTATTAATCCTGGAACATCACCAGAATATGTACAGTACTTTTCAGAATGTGAGCGTTTGGGAATAAAAGCATGGCAAAATGATGCGTTAGTGCTTACAGTGAGAAGCAAGTGAACGTCAAACTAGTCCTTATTTGCATGCTTACCTGTACATTTTAAATCAAGCAAAACATGATTGACTCAAAAAGGGCGCGGGGGGAATGAAAGCAAACATGGAATCTCCTTTCCCCTGATGTCAAACTGCACATGATTTCAAATGTCTTATGAAATTCCACTTAAGTATAGCTGGAAATGCGGACAATAAAGTGGCCCCATAATAACAGTGACGGTTAATGCTCGGATGTGGTCTTTGGATTTCTAATCAACAGCTCATTTAAAAAAAACTTCACCATTCAATTTGGAAGGAATGCCACAATCGATCGGTGGCAGAAACACATAATCATTAAAAGCAGTGCAATTCAATCGCAAACCTTTTTAAAGGGGACTTGTCGAAACAGAAGTCATCCATTCGTCACCCTTGACACTGATGAGGAGAGAATGTAATGAATCCTTCTGGAATAATGAACTGATTCATTTATCAGAGGTGGATTGCAAATCCTGTTCCCTTTAAAAGTCCTGTATACATCTTGGCAGCAACAAACAGGAAAATATTACGTCTCCTTTAAAAAGTCACCCCACAGCAAATGTTGTTTTGCATCTATCCAAAGTAGACCGACTGAAAAATGTACGATGATATGAGTTACTGTACTATGATTACTAATGAACAAAGTAAGCAAGGCACACCAACCGAAAAATGGTGTTGCTCAATGACCTTCTCAGCTCAAAAGTACAACGATGCACGACATTATGATATTGCATGAGAAGACATTTTAGGAGCTGGCTTTCAAGTGTTTTGTAGCCTGGTACCCACAACAAATGACTTCAACAACAGACTGCTGTAAATGGGATTTGACTTGTACAACTTCACAGCGGACACGCACTATGAATTCAGCTCCCACCAAAAACACCCTTTTGAATACAACAGTCTATCTCTTGCAGACAGAAAATTAGGAAATAATATACAGTAGAAGTTGAAGGCGCCATGGTTGAAAAGAAAAAAAAAAGGCACACTTGTTTCACTGCATCCAGAGTTCAGCGTCATTGCAGCGTCGGTGGCAGCAACATCATGCCGCCTTGCTGCCTTTTTTCTCTCTCTAATCATTCTCTGATGCCCATCAGCGAACTAACGGATGAAATCGGATCCGTCTCCTGAATGCCAAAACGTTCGCAAAAGGTGCAAAAAGGTAGATTAGCGGAAGGAGCAAAGCGACCCCTGAATTCGGAGGGGTTACAGGCCCAGGCAGCTTTTCAACAAAAGCAGACGTTTTCCGCCTTCACAGGCTGGGCTTTTGCTGTTGGTCCACTTCAGTGCAACTGTTCTCTGGAGAGGGACCAGCAAAGTTTATGAATGAATATTCATGCGTCGCTCTAGTATGTAATAATCTGCATCATGCTTACCTATTGATGTTGTGTTGGCTTGTTGTGGAATGTTGGACTGGAGGGGTTGCTGCTGCCTAAAAAAAAATTCAAAGAGTTGTTTTAAGCTCACTCTCTGAAATTAAAAATAAATTTGCCATTTAAAAAAAAAAAAACATGGAGCATATCGACACACAGTGTTGTGCCCACCGGTCAAAGTAGGCCTGCCGCCTCTTCCTCAGCTCGTCTGCTGTGAGTGTCTCATTGTGCATTCTTAGTTCTCCTGCAGCCTCGCCGTCCACTCTCACATGTCCACTACCAGAATCTGAAGAAGTGTTGGTCAACGCAGCTCCTATAATTTGGACGGGGAAAAACAAAACATATTCATCAGATCGTTGAAAAGACATAAAAACAAGGGCTGGGCGATATGGCTTAAACATGTCAGCGATTTTAGTACACAAAAATTAGATTTCCGATATTTTGTGCCTTTCGCTTATAGAAAAAGCAAATGACATATATGAGTAGAAATGTTCAAACTCTGCGCACAAGATGAGCACATGTATATCCTAAATCACCGTCAGAATCGTAACACGTGCGTGCGGGCCCATTTTCTTCACGTCACTGTTTTGATGAATCAGAAGTCATTCAAAATGACAGCTCATGCCTGCGGTGATATAAATTGAGTAAACCCCGCCCCTTTTTGTACCTTTTGTCAAAACAGGTACATATGTGAACACCATCATTCACCCTTTCAGTGACAGCAGTTACTAGAGTGGACAGCTTATCATGGTATCAGGTTACAGGGTGCATGAAAGGGTTAATAATGTCATGAATATTTGACGATGAATATATTGAAACGAGCTCTCTGATTGCATGGGTTGGCTTGTCTATAGCGTAGCAGCTTTCTCATGATCTTTTCTGAGGCGCTGCTGGGAAGCACAGATGTCAAGTGAAGAGATTCCAACATGTCAATAAATCACATCTTTTACAATGTGGCACCGATCGTCTCTTTGGCAATGTTCAACATAATTGACTCCATGATCGCCTCTACCAGACTTCTTGCTTGTCATATGGGCAACCATGTAAAAATGATTCCACTCACTTGTGTGAGATTAGTGGCAAGTCCCTAAATCGGAAACACTGATTGGTCTTTGCAAACTAGCTCCCTTCTGTGTTTTCACCCATGTTGTTAGTGTAAGTAGTGCACATCAGTGAGGATGCACTTTGAAATACAGAATCACACACACACACACACACACACACACACACACACACACACACACACACACACACACACACACACACACACACACACGACTCTTTACATCCCAAAAATCCTCCTGAGCAATAAATTTGACATCAATTGATCAAATGAATTTCCTAGCCCTACTACAAAGGTGCTATTGTACCTTGCATGCTAAGCTGAATGGCCCTGCGCAGATCCGCCTCCTCATCATCTACGTCAATGTCTTGTCTGCTGAGCGCGAGAACCCTGTTCAACTCTTCATCATCATCCACAACGTCACTCTCCACACCAAAGCTCATCTCCGTCTGCCCCAATATTGATGACCTGCTGCAGGTGGAACATGGATTCAAAAAAAAAAAAAAAGGTTAATTACAGCGCTTTAAATAACGTATTTCAAGCAAAAAGATTCTAGATTCCCCATTGTGTACGTTTGTATGTACCCTGCGCTCGTCTGAGCTTGGGCCTCGCCAATAAGTTTTGGCCGCTGCTGTTGTTGCACTTTCATGATGCCAAGAATCTGGTCTGCTTCACAGTCTGGGAGATTTCCTTGGACCACAAATATGGAATAACCTGCACATGTTAACTTTTATTAATGCCTCACAGAGTCTTTAATTTCATAAATTCAGTTGGCTACGACATTACCTTCTTGTTGTAACTGTGCAAGAAAAAGGGCTAAATATGTGTCTGAGATCAACTCTGGTCCAGTCAAAAGTGAATTCAAGTTAAACCACTGAAATGAGAAACCAACGATGATTTTCATAACTCCAGTTATATGACACTTGCGTAGGAAGACATGCACCTGTTGTCCAAGTTTGCGAATGGTAAACCAGTGCTCCTTGTAATTGCATATGAAGGCATTTTCATTTCTGAAAGAGAACAGAGGGGAAGCCTTAATAGGATAATACACTTGGTAGTCCAGATTATGATGCCAAACAAGTTTGATCGAGAAAACATACATTGGATTTATCATCAGGCTCTGGTACTCCCGGCTGTTGAAGAGGATAAGCTCCAGTCCCCAAACCCTGAGAGCATTGCTAATAACCTATAATGAGTATCCCACAAAAATTATATATACATTTATAATTATGCTTAATCTGCAAAAGCATAAAAATCAATCTTTGGAGCTCACTTGTATTGAAAAGAACCCGCTGTCATCCATGTTACCAGATGGTTGCTCCAAAGAAAAAGCACAAAATGTTAGAATGTAAATAAATACACTGCCATTCCAAATTCCCTCACCTGTAAAAAGGTTTGATACTCGTCGCTGCCCATTCCTCCCTCTGCCATCCTCATCCTCTCCTCTTCATCCAACTGATGCGCAATAGAGGAGAGATCCACGGGGGTG